TAGTACACTCAAGTGATGAGTTGGGGGATGTTAGGAAGTGCAGTTCTTATTTTCTGGGTTGAGATAGGAAACACGGGTAGTTTTTGTATTAGTGCGGTAAGGCACTTATCCATACGGCTAGGACTATTTCTCTTGCCAGGATTTTTGCAAGTCCTAGCACCTCAAAAATTCCCACAGCTTTGACATGCTATAAAGCATGTCTCCTCGTGGTCATGCTATAATGACCTCTTCACGGTCAGTTCCATCTTCAAATATCCGAATCATTCGTATTATTTGGTCTCTTTAGTTTTAAAAAAATTTTAATATTAATTTTGCTGAAGCAACTGTAGCAGAAGTATGGTTTAAAGGGCCCAAACCCAAGTAAAGTCTAGGCTTTTCTTCTTTTCTCATCTGTCCTGGCTTTCTAGACCTTGATGAGTGGTACTTGCATTAAGCCAATCCCTAACTTCAATGTTTTAACCACTTTATTTTCCTAACTAAAAGCTAATATAATAATCTTTTATACAGGGGCTTCTGAGTGGCTCAGTCAGTTAAGCGTCTGTGTTTGGGTCAGGTCATAATCTGACAGTCCTCTGATTGAGCCCAGCATCTGGCTCCCTGCTCCATGGGGAGCCTGCTTCTGCCTCTTCCTCTGCTCCTCCCCCTCTGCTCATGCTCTGTCTTGCTTTCTCTTTCAAATATATAAAGAAAATATATATTTGTTAAAGTTTTATATACACATTATATTTTATATATGAGATACTGACCAATTGTCAGTATTATGGGAACACATCACTTCCAGCATAAATGCTTCTCTGGCAAACAGGCTCTACTGTCTGCCCCCTCCCCCTTTTTCTTCTTTAGTTTTTGTAGGTCTGGTGTCCGTGTAAGTGGTGATGCCTGTTCTGATACTATGATCATAGATAATAAGATAAACAAAGGTATAGTTCACTTTTCATTTCTTCTCAGTTGTAAATGTTAGACATATTTAATTAACATCATGTGTAACAGTCATAGCACCCCACATGTATTTGGGGTATTGTATTTGTATTTGTATTTGTATTTGCAAACATGCAAATACAAACACGTATTTGTACTTTTTTTTTTTGTATTTCGAATCTTTAATTAAGCTCATATATCTAAAACATGTTTACACACAGGACAGATACAGGATTTCAAGTAACTTATGGTAGAGTTCACTGTCCATTTAAAAGTATGCTTCTTTCTTCCACAAAAACTGCGTTGAAAAGCAAACAAAATTTTCTTTTATACTGCGTAAGAGCTGGATGCAAAGTTCTGATGCAAATTTACTTCACCGTCAACTCTGATGCTGAAGCTGAGAGGCAGAGATGTCCATAGTTCGGTTAAATGATGCAAATAAAAAGCTTCTGCTTCTCTTAAATTAGAAGCCTTCATTCATGGTCTTTCTCAGTAGTACCAGACTTGGCTCCCAGTGCCCTGGTTATCCTGTGCTCTAGTTGGAGTGGAATGGAAAGCCGAAGACTTCCAATAAAGTAGGAACTGAATATTTAAGGTTCATTTTTACCAGAAACCAACAAACTAGAGAGCAATTATGAGCAATTAGTAGTTTTTTGTTCTTATTGTTCTCTTATTAGTGCTCTTTGTTCTATTAAAATTAAACTGAATTTATTTTATCTTTGAATTAAATTTCCTTTCTTTTTGGAAAGAATTTCTAGAGTGATAAAGATAAGAAAAATGGTCTTTCATGCTTGGATTGGAGGAGAGAGAAATTTTTGTTTAACAGGCAGATTAATATAAGTTTCAAAGGAGAAATAGTAAAAAAAATCACTTTAAATCAAGATAAGAATTTTTTAGATGTGATGGAAGTGGTCTCTTGATAGTTGAGAAGATACTTGGAAGTTTTTGTTTCTACAGCTTGAATGTGGATCTGGTTATTAATGGATTAGGACCCACTGAATACAATAAATATTGGTAGTCCATACTGACCTGAATAAATAAATGAGTAATAAACAAATGGGGAGAAGGGAACAGCTTTTTTTTTAATATTTTATTTACTTGAGAAAGAGAGACAGAGAGACAGAGAGAGAGAGAGAGAGAGAGAGATGATGAGCAGAGGGGAAGGGTAGAGGGAGATGCATTTTCCCCACCAAGCAGGGAGCCGAATGTGGGATTCAATCTCAGGACCCTGGGATCATAATGTGAGCTAAAGACAGATGCTTAACCACCTGAGCCACCCAGGAGCCCCTGTTTGTTTTGTTTGTATTTTTAAAGCAGTAGCCTTTTAACCTTGATCTGATTGAGCCTTCAGTAATCATCCTAACACATTTATTTCAAGTTTGTAATTGTAAAAGATCTTGAGCAATAGTGACTTAGCTCCAAACAACAGTGAGACTGGCAATTTAATACTTTGGATCATCCTTTTTTTTTTTTTTTTAACAAGATCCAGCTTTCTCTGATCTAAAGCCCTGGGTCTAATAGAAACATTTTAGAGAACTAGTTTAATCTGTAAAAGCCGATAAATGGTAAGATCAAGGAGTCTATTCTTTTTTTTCCCCAAAGAGTAGATTTATTTATTTTTATTTTTTTATGATTTTTAAAGATTTTATTTATTTATTCAAGAGAGACACAGAAGGAGAGAAGCAGAGACACAGGCAGAGGGAGAAGCAGGCTCCATGCAGGGAGCCTGACATGGGACTTGATCCCGGGACTCCAGGATCACACCAGCCATCCCCCAAAGAGTAGATTTAAAAAAAAAAAAATACCTTAAGTGTCTTTAATGCCTTCTGGGTAATTTAAGTTCTTTGAGGGCAGCTTCTGTGTCTCCTTTCCTTATCTGTATCCCCAGGCTTCCAGGCAGTGCTGTACCCTTAGTGAACTGTCAAACAGAATACTGAGGAAGTGTAAAATCTAAGTGGTGGGGGCTGGGAAGAGAATGGTTATGATGGAACTTTATTTGATCATGAATTTTTTACAAAAAAAATTTATTTACCTTATTAAATCTTAATTCCATAAAAATCTTTGATCTATAAAAAATAATAAATCGGAGATTCACAGTAGACTAATAAGAGACCAAAAAAATTAGAGACCTCGGGCTTCCCTGTTGGCAGTAATGTGTCCTCTGATGAAATTTATCTTTCTAGTTTAAAATTAAACATCACTGTTGTTGACTTTTTACTGCATTAATTTGTGTCACTTTTCTCATTAGCATTCATCTGTGTCCAAAATACTTCTGTTTGCTTCGTCTTCCATCAGCTGTATTTGACTTAGTTGTTATATTGTATGGCATATCGTTGGGAAAAAATCAGAATTTTTAGGAGTTGACTTTGAGGAATTTGAAGAAGTTCTTCGTCAGTCCCAAAACTATTTTAGATGGAGGCAAGTAGAGTCCAGGACTGTCCCATAGCATCAAAGAACTTTTTGGTGGGGGAGGTGGTTAAAAACAGGTATGTAGATGCTCACTGACATCTCTTGGGCCAAGATTACATCATCTCCAAGTCACCTTGGCCCAAAACTGAAGTAGTATTACCTTATTTATTCTCCACCTACAACGAAGCAATGACTAAGTCAGGAATTGAATTCAGATTCCTTAATGCCTCCTATCCCTTTGGTTACCTACATCTTCTGTCTCTAATTCAGGAGTTTTTTAGACACCTTTGTCTTTCAGGAAAGAGGTCCAGGTGGTATTATAACAGAGGAAACAAAACTGGCTTTCAGTGTAATAAAAGTCTAACTACGCTTTTAAAAAAATATATGGTATAACACACATCATATAAAATTAACCATAATTTTTTTACAGTGACTGCTCAGAAGCTTTATTTAAGGTACAGATGAAAATGCAGCCCCCCAGAGAAAAATGTTATAATTAATTAATGTCTTACTGTACTTGGAATGGAAGAGACTGAATTTGCCTGTTTTGTGGCCCTTCATACATTTTAGCTAACTTAGTTTAATTCCTTTGCAAAATAAACAAATTGAATTTTTTTTATGAAAAGGAGGATTAGATTTGAATACCTTTTAAAATGTACTATATTTGCTAAGTATAATTTTTAACTGCCTCGTTTTTCTCTTGTTTTCTTAAAGTGGACTTCCTTCCATTAAGTTGCAGGAACTTCCCTCTAGATAAACTTTATACCAAAGAATATATAATGCTTGAGAGTCAGAATTGCCAAGGCTACAACTGTGTCTCTATCAACTTGCTAAATGTTTAGAAAGCCTTATATCAAATCCTTGGGTTTTCTCTGCTATAAATCTCGTAAGCAAAATCAGTATAGTTGACGTCAGTGGAACTATTAATTTTAGAATGCCAGTTTAAGAGCAGTTAGCTTTTGTTGCATCTAACTTTGAAATGCAATTTAAAAGGATTAATCTGAAATGTCATTTGGTTAGGTCTGAATCACTGTCATTTACTAGTAAACCTTTGGTTTATATCTCCATCTGAAATGGAAATAGGAGGCTAGCCACAAGAAACAGCTTTAGCATTTCTTTTCTACCAGGACATGAATGGCAATGAGTCACAACCAAGGGCCCCGTGAAGTGATTTTTTTTTCCGAATAAATGATTTTCATATTGTTTAGAAGATTCTAGTCCTGAGGAGACTAATAAGGTTTTCCTAATTCCTGAGGCACAGTCTCCCTGACCTTAGTTTTTAAGGGTTCTAAAGCTAGAACTATAATCTTTTAAGCATTTCTCAAATGAATGTGGAGCAAAAAGGAGCATCTTTCCAATATGTACACAAGTAATTGGGGAAGTCCAAAAGTTGGGTTGTCTGGTCTTAGTAGCTCCTGTCAAGAGTAAGAATGGAATTTGACCCATGAGTCCTATTGGGGTACTTCAAGTAGTGACTCCCAGCCGTGGCAGAGGACTGGGGCCAATGTAGGATTTGCTGCTTGTGTTACCACTGGAACTGTGGAGAGAAAAAGTAGTTTATGAACCACTGTATGTATAAAGTAAGCCAGACAAGAAGTAGAGGTCCTAGAAGGCTGGAACCCTAGCTTCCAAAGATGACAGAGACCTCACTGTTTTAATATCTCTGGTTTCAGATTGCCTGCTTGGTGCCCATGGATCAGTTTCAGCTTTATCAGCGGTTAAAATTTGAAAGAGGTATGTATGCACTCTTCTTACTGTCCCCATGCTGAGTTGTGGCTTTCCACGTGTCATCTTCACACTACCCTCCTCGGAAGGTTAAGGAGGCTGTGGGCTGTCAACAAAGCCACAAGGGCGTTCTCAGAGGGGGAAAAACTGTAATTGCAACATAAAATGTCAGCTTTCTTGGCCACGGACAGAAAAAATGCCAACTGGCAGCAAAGAGAAGCTTCCCTATGTTGGTTGTTTTATATATTTTGTTTTTTTTGTTTGTTTTATATTTTTAACGTGGCTCCTGTGAGAGAAGTTCTGCAGAAGTTGGGTAGTTTCACCAAAGAATGTGTTTGTTAAAATGCGTATTACCTCGGGCTTTCCCACTCTTGAAGATTGCTTCAAAACCTTAATCGACCCAAACATTTTTACTGCTGCATGTCATATTCACCACTGTGTTCTTTGATGCAACACTTGTAATCGTAGTGATGGCTGCATGTGTCATTCTCATGTGATGTACAATCTATTGGACTCATTTTCTTTCTGACTTTGGCCTTGGAGTAATATATATAGCTTTTCTATTTGTATTGCCTTTTTATCTGTAAGATTTATTTATTTTTGCTCCTTTTGGTTTCTCATAGATCTTTTTTTTAAGGAGCCCTTTCCCTCCTGTCACATCCTGTACATTCTTAAACTAAATGGTCTATTTTTTTTTTCAAGATGTATTTATTTGAGAGCGAGCGAGTGCACACACAAGTGAGGGGAGGGGCAGAGGGAAAGAGGAAGGGGAGGTAGACTCCCTGCTGAGGGCAGAACCTGATGCAGGGTTCCATCCCAAGGACCCAGAGATCATGACCTAAGCTGAAACCGAAAGTCAGAGACTTAACCGAGTCCCCAGGCACCCCAAATGATCTGTTTTTCTATATCTGAGAAATAGGAGAAAACTGTTCCCCTAGAACACAGAGACTCATTGAGTATATAAAATAAACTCTTATCTAGCATCAACATACAGTTTTCTGATTGCTAACTTTTAAATCTGGATTAGTAAAGTCTGGAGGTCAGAAAGGGGGAAAGAGGAATATTTCTCTCTCATGTGCCAGTCTTTCATAGGTGGTCTTGCATATCTTTGCTTTGATGCATTATAAATCGATCCTATTGTTCGACTCATACATGGAATTTATCTTTTTCTCACAAGTTCTAGGCAGATGTCCCACTATAGATTCCATGACTTAATAATAGATTTTATTATTCCTTCTTTATAGATGAAAAAAGTGATGATTGGAGAGGTTGAAACTTGCATAGCATCACATAGACTGTTCCTAAGCTTCTTCATCTATACTTGTTTTTAATTCCATTTTTTTTTTTACTAAGGTAACATCTATCTAAAACAGAAAACTTACCATTTCACCCATTTTCAGGGTACAGTTAAGTGGCATTAAGAACATACACAGTGTTGTGCAACCATCACTACCATCTATTTATCACCCTAAGCAGGAACTATAATAGCTTTAAATAATAACTTCCCATTTCCCTCCCCACCCCCCCGTAACTTCTTCTGTTTACTGTTCTGTAAATTTGCCTAGTATAGATATTTCATGTGAGTGGAATCATACAAGATTTTCTTTTTGTGTCTGGCTTGTTTCATTTAATATAATGTTTTGAAGGTTCACCCATGTTGTGGCATGGATCAGACCTTCATTTCTTTTTATGGCCAAAGAGTAATATTCCATTGTATATATATATACTACATTATGTTTAACCATTCATTTGTTGAAGGACACTTGGGTTGTTTCTACCTTTTACCTATTGTGAATAATGCTGCAGTGAGCACTGGGGTACAAGTATCTTTTCAAGTCCTTGCTTTCAGTTCTTTTGGGTACATACCTAACGAGTGGAATTGCTGGGTCATATGGTCTTTCTATATTTAGTGTTTGAGGAACTGCCAATTGGACACTTTTACTTTTGTAAAGTACGGAAGTACATTACATTTGGAGCTATGGTAAATCAGGTGACTATTTGGCTCAACTCCCTCATTTTATAAGAAAGGAAACCAAGGTCCAGAGACATTTTGACCTGAGGTGATGTTGGAAGTCAATTTGTAATTCTTTAAGTATCAATTCATGTACTTCTCTATTATCATCCATTATAAAGAATTATTATTAAATAAGCATGCGAAGGAAGAGTAAGTTTAAATGAATACAGTGTTACATAATGAACTTTACTCCATTGGCATAGTCTTTATTTAAATTGGATACCTCATTTTTACTCAGTAGACTTTGTATCTATCTCAAACTCAAAGCTTACCGGCTAGGTGACTTCCAGATCTATGTGACAAATGTTTTGTTTTGTCTTTGAATATTTTGTTTATTTATTTAAGAGAGAGAATAAGGGGGCAGGAGTAGGGGAGAGGGGCTTAGAGGGAGAGAGAGAAGCAGCCTGCCCAGTGAGCCGGGAGCCTGATGCAGGGCTCAATCCCAGGACCCAAGATCGTGACCTGAGCCAAAGGCAAATGCCTAACCAAGTGAGCCACCCAGGTGCTCCTGCCACAAAAGTATTTTATGTGGAACTGTTTAGAATGGGATCTTGGGATGCTTTAAATACTAATGTTGTTGAATGAGCTAAATGACAAACTGGTGGAAAGGAAAACTCACTGGCTGGGATTTCAGAGTTGTAGAGATTGTCGTTGCTCTGGAAAAATGTAGAATCACCTTCGTGGCAGCCCCCTGTGTCTTAATTATAAAAATTTTCATTGGTTTTGCCCAATTTTTATTGCCTACCAAGGCCTCATCTTGTCATCCTGTGTTTTAATTGTCCTCTGCTTTATGTTATGTATATGATTAGCTTGCCTTTTATAGCTTTGTTTTCATCTAAGTCTTCATGGGGAAAAAATATTTCGAATAGGAATGAGCCTAAATCATCACTGTTTACAGAAAGTGGAGAAACGGCACTTGGCATCGATTGGTTATTCTATGAATCTGCTCTCCTTCCATCTGTGACTTTCCGTTGGCTACTACGGTGTTTGTGGCTTTTCCGTTCTGTGTCAGTGTTCCAATATTAACAAAGAAAAGAGAATACTAAGTTTGGCATATGTTAGTGATCACAGCTGTACTTTCGACTGGTTCTCAAAGCACATGCCTGATGATTAATGCTAGAATTTTGCTTGTCTCTCAAATCTGCTTGCCCAGAATCTACTTTTTCAAAATGGTTTGGGTTTTGTATTTGTTTATCTTTGGAAAATTAGGTTAAGATTTTCCATCTCTAGTCCTTCAGCACTTTTCCTATTTTTTTTGTGACCCCCATTTACTTATTATAATTGCAAACTGCTTCAGTTTGTTGGTAGCTTAATGTGTCTGTTCTTGGATATTTGTATTATAGTGGCTGGAAATTCTTACAAATGGTTCAAATGTCATAGTGTTCTCCTTTGGAAAAAAATGAAGTAAAATAGCAATTTATTTTCCTGTTATCTGGTAATCCGACTGCATCCACTCATGTGTTCCATATCTACTTTTCTGTGTGCTGAGTATGTATTGTGTGTCAGGTGCATTTCCAGACACTGCCGTAAGCCTCGGCTCCATCTTTCTCTGAAAGCCATCTGTTCTCAGCATTTGTCACAAGCCTCCTTTCATTGTGAGTCTCAACATTTACAATATGGTTCTTTGAATTTCATTTTGCGCCTTTATTTGTCCTTGGTGAAATGCTCCCAGGCCCTCTTTTGTGTCCAATCACTTAAAGTTTTATCTCGCCAGAGCTCTGGGTGTAATTATTTGGTTTCTTTTGGTGTTTTTCCATTTAGGGCTGTGTGATTTTAATGTCCTTACTGTCAGTTTGGTTTTATTTTGTAACACCTCCCATTGTCATTAGGTATCTTCCTTTTCATAGTTTCTGATCACAAGCCCATTCTCATTGTGCATGTGTATGGCGTGCATGTGCACACCTGTTCACTTTTCAAGTCTGCTTTTCTGGTGTTTTGTTGGTAAATGTGTGACTAAGTCTAGGGGTCCCTTATGAAGCTATTCTGTGCTTCTGCATGCTAACACTTTCTCCTCCTCTTCCTACTTCCTCTTCTTTACCATCAACTCTTTCTTGTGGGGCAGTTCTAAATCTAAAACAGAACCCTCTAGATGTGTCAGCTAAAAACCTGAACTATCTGCAAAAAGAGACATTTATCATCAGTACGGTGACATTTCTAAAGGGGACCCGAATGAAAGGCACAGTGTGAAGTGTTTGCCTCTCCCTGTGTGTACTCTCATTTCCTCATCTATAAAAGGAGGGTACTAGTGGAAGGATCCTGGTAGGACTGTTGTAAAGGGTGAGTTAATATTGTGTGTCTGTCACTGTGTGCACTCAGTAAATTATTATTGTCATTATCATTGTTGTTTTGTTATTTGTCAGCACCACTGCCCCATCTTACCTTTATCCCAGTTTTTTAAACTAAATGAAGAAAGCATCTTCTAGAATCCAGATCATACTTCAGCTGAGCCTCTAGCACAATAATACCACTCTTGTTCCCTTTTCATCTTAATCTGTGTCTTTTTCAGCACATTTCTATCGAGTCTTAAAGCGTTGTATGGCACTGTGACAATGAAAGCTGATTCTTTACACCACCTACTGTATCTGGTTCCTTCATGCTCTCACTTGATGCATAAATCCACCTTCTCTGACCACCTCCGAGGAGATTGAGACGTGCTGATCTGGGGCATTCAAAGTGGCCACTTTAAAGAGAAAAGGTTCCTGTGCTGATAGTGGAAATGGAAATCTATTTAATAACATGATTATTGGGACGCCTGGGAAGCTCAGTGGTTGAGCATCTGCCTTTGCCTCAGGTTGTGATGCCGGGGTCCTGGGATCGAGTCCCACATTGGGTTCCCTTTGGGGAGCCTGCCTCTCTCTCTGTGTCACTCATGAATAAATAAATAAAATCTTTAAAAAAAAACATGATTATGTGTTTACATAGAGAATGGTATTCTAGGAAAAAGGCCCAGTCCCAGCATATACTCACTAACCATGAGTTCTGCAAACTCCGAACG